TTCTTCGGGAAAATACTTTTCAAAAGATGCGCGCATCGAACTGAGATATTGGACCAATTCTTCAAACACATTATCTTCAAACATTTCTGAGTCGTTTTCGCTAACAAACTCAGTGAGTAACGTAAAACTTTCTATTTCTTTCTTACCAATGCAAATGATCCAAAAATCTAATTTTCTTTTAAAAGTAGTTATTTTATTATAGGCCTGAAACACTGTTGTCTGTTTACCTTGCAATGATAAATTTAATTCGTTAAGTTTTTGAAAGATATCCGCCATAAAAGACAATCGGAACAACCAAGTTTTATCATACAAACGGTCCTTCAAATTAAAAGAAGTATCTGCTGAAAGAAACATTTGTAACTCGGCTCTAAGTTCAAATAGCCTTGTTAAAGTTTTTCCCCGAGACAGCCATCGCACTTCTGTATGGAGCAGCAGTGTTTTATGTTTGCTGCCATAATCTTCACACAATAATGAGAACAATCGGGATTGTAGTGGTCGTGATTTGATAAAATTAATTATTTTTACCGCTTCATCCATAACTAATTTTAGATTAGACGGCATTTGCTTCATCGCAAGTGCTTGTCTATGCAGAATACAATGACTGGAACTACAATTAGGCGCTTTATTTTTCATTCGTGACACTGCTCCTGCTGTTTTACCTGTCATCGCCTTGGCCCCATCTGTACAAATGTCAATGCAATTGTTCCAACTGAGATTATGTTCTTCAAAAAATATATTTATTTTATTAAAAATTTCTTCCCCGGTAGTGTTTGTAAGCAGCGATGAACACATAAGCATGTCTTCTTCAAAAGAACATTTATATGGATATCTCACAATAACCAGCAGGATAGCCAAACCAGCGACATCAGTCGACTCGTCCATTTGCAAAGCGAATCGTGTATTTTGTAGACGTGTAACTAGTTCTTGTTTGACGTAGCTTGCCAGATCATGGATTCGTCGTGAAACAGTATCGTTTGATAGCGGAACAGTAGAAAGATGCTTTGCAGATTTTTCATCAAGCATACATTTTGTTATGTCTAATACACATGGTTTTATTAATTTCTCAGCGATAGTGTGCGCTTCACCTGCTTGTGCAATGCGATAGCTAACTAAGTATGATGCCTCCGTGGCCTTTTCGTTGGTAGTTTGTGTTACATGCATCATATTTTTTTGACTTTCTAATAACTGATCTTTTTTGCGAACAAAAAATTCTTTATTCTTGTCTTTAGTCTCGGGGTGTACGGTTTCTAAATGTCGACGCAATTTGGCAGGTGCCATGGAACTATTAGGAAGCAGTTTACTACAGAGCATGCAGAGAGGTGAGCCGTTGGAATCAACAAATCCGAAACTGATATAAGATTCATCATACTTCCTTTTTTTCGTCTTTGAAACCGTCGAGCTTGACGTCGTGGCACTCGTGGCATCATCTTCTGGATCGGTGATTGCTAAATTCTCCGCGCGCATTGCTTTTGAACATTCAGCGTCATTAGAAGATGTTGTTGGAACACGTTTAACACCTTTAAGCCAACGTTCCATTCTTCTTTATTTATAATGTTACAAGTCAGGATAGTGGGGTTTAAATAATGCACAATCGTTACTGCGTATAAGAGACTAAATTTAGAACCTACAGGGAAGAAATGTATAAAACTGAGACAACAGAATACAGCAGGCAGTAAAACAATGAACACCAGTTTCTCGCTAGCGAGCTTGTAAGTAGGTAGTAACTTATCGCTCCGAACGCTAATCATCAACTGACGACGCCAACGCGCGATCGCCGCTTTTATACTTAGTCCTAGACTCGATCTCAAATATTCTCGAAAATACTCGAGTCGGCACCTTTGATAAACAAAAAGCAAAAATAAAAACAGAAATTTAAAAATAGCGTTGTAAACAATATCGACTTTATCCTTTGAAGTTAGAGACGAAAGTCGCTAGTTGACAACTATAGCGTCTAATTCAGAGGCGGCTTTTATCAAAGAGACTGAGCGCTTACAAGTATACTACCCGCTCGTTTTAAGTTTGCCGCTGGCGATAGGTATGAGTGTATGACGTTCGAAATTTTTTATTTAATTGTAACAATAAAAATTGTGTACGTTAGATATTTGGGTAAAACTATGACACATTATAAGTTTTGTTGTCACGTGGGGGAGGGTACGCGCATTCCACAGACCGGCAAACTTAGAGCGAACGCGTTGTACAAGTATAAAATTGTTGAGACCAAACTTATGAGATATTGTACCAGCTAATGTAACACAAGCTTATACAAATACAAATAAATAAATAAATAACATTCATAGCGTTTTGTCTCCGCGCGGCCGCGGAGTCCGCACAGCCGCGGAGCGACCAGAGAGAGGTGTTTTGATTTTTTTATTTCTAAATTCTTGCGGAACCCCGACAGAGGTATCACGGAACCCTAGGGTTCCGCGGAACACACTTAGAGTATAGCTGTCCTATGGATTTCCTCATTTCTGATTCTATCGCGTAGAGCAATACCGACCATTGCTCGCAATGTGACCTTGAGCCTTCATATGAGATCCGCAGTAAACGACCACGTTTCGCTTCCGTAGGTCTTAACTGGCAGCACACACTGGTCAAAGACTTTTTGTCTTGAGACACTGAAGTAATTTTCAAAACAATATATCTCTGTAATGTTTTGAATATTTGAAAAAGAGAAAAAACCGCGCCCAATATTTTTTGATAATCTATCTGATAGACGAAGAAAAAAGAGTTATTCATCATCAACACAAACTGATGTTGTCATGGAAGATAGTTACTTTATGGCTAATTTACTTAAAATATTCTCGCGTGCCTTTTAATAATACGCCTAAACTAGATCATCTATCTGAGATTCAGTTCATTCAACACACAGTTCGTCAAAATTATTTTATGACCAAAAATATAGAACATGGGAAAAACATTGTATCACTTTGGCAAAGATTGTGCGTAGAGAATTACGCAATGAACTTTAACAATTATTATGAGCGAATTAAGCAATCCCACGGTCATTGTATTAACAAATAAACCGTTTATTCGGTGAAAGTTTATAATGAAAAAGTTACAATAAAGTTTAATCGCACTAAACTTTATCGTAAAACAAAGACAGATGAATTCTACAACTGTGGCAGGAACGCGCACTTGTTTTTTTAGTGTACCGTACCCCCAAGTTCCACTTTCCGTCTGTATGTCTGTCAGCAGACTGTATCTTATGAACCGTGATAGCTAGATGGTTGAAAATTTCACAGATGATGTATTTCTGTTGCCGCTATAGCGATAAAATATACTAAAAACAGTACTAAATATTTTGTCCCGTACAACGGAGTGACATTTTGCGGTTTTTTGCTCGATATAAAAATAATTAAAGTTACCCTTTAATGTTGTATAGATAATGGCACGGAACCCTTCGTGAGCGACTCCGACTCGCACTTGGTCGGTTTTTAATCAAACGCATTAATAATAATTATACGTATTGTAATACTTTATATCTGACCATCTCTGTGGTCGAGTGGTTTGTACGCCGGGTTTCAGGGTATCGCCGACTCGAGAGGTCCCGGGTTCGAATCCCGGTGGGGGCAGATGTTTGTGTGATGAATACGAGCATTTGTAATCCAGCATCCCATAACACAAGCCTTACAGTGCTTACTTTGGGGCTAGGCTAATTGGTGTGTTTAAAAAAAAATAAAAAAATCTTTACGTCTATTTTCTCCGAGACGGTATTACTATCGTCATCCAAAAATTAATGCTAAATACGAAATCTTTAACAATTTCGAAGTGAAATTCTGAATAAACAGACCTCGTGGCATTTGCTTCATAGTTATATGGACAGAGAGTACAATTAATTCATGACAAAATATTTATTTGTATACACTGATAAACTTATCTATCATGGCCTATCATAATCACCCATGTTAATTTATTGAGACTTAATAATAAAATTTAGGAACTGCCTAGGAAACCAGGTTATTTTTTCTTAGGCTTCCCATACCCGAATTTCCAACAATGCAGTGAAAGGTAGACTAGCGGTTCACTAGGAAAAAATCATGAGCCTTGTACCCTTCAAATACATACTTTAATCTATAATGTATGTTTTAATTTATTAATGATAAACTCAGAAAAACATCTTGCTAGCCACTTTATTGTACCATAGCCAAATAAAATTATAATCTGTGCCCTTTTTTGTTTTAACCTAAGGTATGATACGAGACTGATACTTACTTAATCTCTCTACAAACTTTATAGTTGTGAGAGAAAAGTACAAAATATTTATAAATAAAGATTGTGCAATAAAGAGATTTTGTTATGTTATGTAAATTCATTTAACAAGACCTATTTTAATACAAAATTTTAAGGCAGAGAAAACAATGCCACAGAGTCATAATCAAAACAATTGGATCGCTGCAAGCTTAATGACCATTCCATTAATAATAATAACTTTTACTGATCATAACAAAGAAATATATATATATACTAGAGGTCGCCTGCGACCTCGTCTGTGTTAACTTGGTTTCTTGAAAATCCCTCTGGAACCTAACTTTTTTTCGGGATAAAAGTAGCCTATGTGTTAATCTAGGGTTTCAGCTAACTCCATACCAAATTTTACTTAAATCGCTCCAGCCGTTTAGACGTGAAGAAGTAACAAACATTCACACTCACATACTCACAAACTTTCGCCTTTATAATATTATAGTGTGATAGATATTAAATCAAGACAAGAAAATAAATATAGTAAAAGCATCATAAAATTTGCACTTTAACTGACTCTCGAAATTGAAAATTTGTTTTTCTAAAGTCTTTAGGTGAAATTAAACATTAATACACTTTTGTAAATGCATATCCACAGAATGTCTGTCTTTTATACTTGGCTGGTAACAAAAAAACCAAATCTATTTATTACATAGTCATTTATGAAATGTTTGGTAACGATAATTACTATTAAAATAAACAAGTCTGTCTGTCAAATATCAAAAACTGAAACATTAGCTAATGACAAACATCAAACTTACCTTCGAGCAAGATGCAATCGCTCCTGAGTGGTCAGGTGTTCCACCTGAGCCATCTCAGCCACCAAATCAGAGTGTTCCATTGTGAATTACCTAAAACAAAGATTTAGTAATGTGAATGACATTGACATATCATGGTTATGGTGTTGATTTTAACATGATTCTCTAAACTTAAAACTAAATTTAACATCAGTCTCTCCTTTTCATTCTGTAGGGAGAATGACAAAGATAACTGTTGTCAAATTTAAGTTTAGGTTTAAAGAACCATGGCAGTATAAACACCTATGCCTTACTATCCCTCCCTTTCCATTTATATGTAAGTGGAGTTTAGACACAAAAATAATAGTGAAGTGTCAATAAAAAAAGTATGTCACTTCAGCCATCCTCACCCTGCCGGCATAAATCCAATCCCCTACCATTTACTTAGCAACAGAAATGCAACATCAACAAAAGGCAGTGCTATTTTATAACAGTGGTCTTCTCTGAGGTACAATTTACACCTCCAGATAGTAGCTGCAAATCAGGTGATAAGTCTGCTATGCTCGACCTATCATAAATAACTATTTTTCTAAGGTGATGGGCAGAGATACTAATTCTTTCCTTGCTACAGTTGGACTGTAGCATAATGCTCATTTCTTTCACAAATTACTCTAACTTTTGGTTCACATGACCCTTTTGTTAGTAATACATAATAATGGCTTAAAGTAGCACTTATAATGAATGAATGGAAGCCTTAGATTATTCATCAAATAACCATGTGATAGGAGTGAGAGTAATAGTAAGCCTGAAATAACTTTAAGTAATAGCCTTGAACCTTGTCTTCAGTATGTGCAAAATGGCATTTAATATTGATTTTCAAAATAAGGTCTCAAATATGAACTCTAAAACAGGCAACACTAGTACCTTTATTTATTAACATTATTTTATATTTTTATTACTTATAATAAATACTATCAGATTTTGGTAAATTACTAGTATATAACATATATGTATAGTCAAAATGAGACCTTAACAAAATTTTTATGATAATCAGTTTGTAAAAAATACTCGTACTTTGAAGGTATTTTAATAAGTTATTCCTTGTTTACTTTCACTTATTCCTTTGGTTTACTTTCCATGCCATATTTCAAATTGGATATTAACATGTCTAATTTGAAATATGGCACCATAGCCACATTTCTATAGAAAAATATTCAATATCACTTTGATAGCTTAATGTAATTAGATATAGTTAATCTGAATAGAGCACTCACTTTTATCATTAAACTTATCATAGATTTAATCAAATTACATTTTCCTATCTTTTTTCAATATTTATAAAGAGTTGTGCCATACTATTGTGAATATTGCTGAGCAACCGTAATATTGTGAATTACTAATAAAAAATAAGCAGTTACAATTATAAGAAAAATCTTAATAGCAATGGGAAAATTAAACATAATATACCTACTTCAGACAAATTTACATGCATTACTTATGAAACTGAAACTAGCAGCCGACATTCTCTTGAGACAAATTTTTTTTTTTTTCAACGAAAGTATTAGGGTATCTTGACTGAAATTACACCCACTATTTCTTCACCCTAAAAAGAAGTTCTGGGAAAAATTTCATCAATTTCGTATGTGTAGGAGATGAGATAAAGCTTTTTTAAAAAATAAATAATCTTTCTCCTGAGAGAAAATATTTTTTTACAACTAAACTATTAGAGTATCTTGGCTGAAATTACTTCCACTATTTCTTCACCCTAAAAAGAAGTATTGAGGAACATTTCAGCAATTTCGTATGTCTAGGAGATGAGATACAGCTTTTTAAACAAAAAAAAATATTCTACTGAGAAATTATTTTTTTACAACTAAACTATTAGAGTATCTTGGCAGAAATTACTTCCACTATTTCTTCACCCTAAAAAGAAGTTTGGAGGAAAATTTCAGCATGTTCGTATGTCTAGGAGATGAGATTCAGGTTTTTAAACAAAAAAAAATATTCTCCCGAGAAAATATTTTTTTACAACAAAGCTATTAGAGTATCTTGGCTGAAATTACTTGCACTGTTTTTTCACCCTAAAAAGAAGTTTTGAAGAAAATTTCAGCAATTTCGTATGTCTAGGAGATGAGATACAGCGTTTTAAACAAAAAAAAATATTCTCCTGAGAAAAAATTTTTTTTGAAACTAAACTTTTAGAGTATCTTGGCTGAAATTACTTCCACTGTTTCTTCACCCTAAAAAGAAGTTTTGAAGAAAATTTCAGCAATATCGTATGTCTAGGAGATGAGATACAGCTTTTTAAACAAAAAAATATTCTCCCGAGAAAATATTTTTTTACAACTAAACTATTAGAGTATCTTGGCTGAATTTACTTCCACTATTTCTTCACCCTAAAAAGAAGTTTTGAGGAAAATCTCAGCAAGTTCGTATGTCTAGGAGATGAGATACAGCTTTTTAAACAAAAAAAAATATTCTCCCGAGAAAATATTTTTTTACAACTAAACTGTCAGAGTATCTTGGCTGAAATTACTTCCACTATATCTTCACCCTAAAAAGAAGTAGTGAGGAAAATTTCAGCAATATCGTATGTCTAGGAGATGAGATACAGCTTTTTAAACAAAAAACAAAATTCTCCTGAGAAAATATTTTTTTACAACTAAACTATTAGAGTATCTTGGCTGAAATTACTTCCACTATCAGTCAAGATACTCTAATAGTTTAGTTGTAAAAAAATATTTTCTCGGGAGAATATTTTTTTGTTTAAAAAGCTGTATCTCATCTCCTAGACATACGATATTGCTGAAATTTTCTTCAAAAATTCTTTTTAGGGTGAAGAAACAGTGGAAGTAATTTCAGCCAAGATACTGTAAAAGTTTAGTTTCAAAAATTTTTTTTTCTCAGGAGAATATTTTTTTTTGTTTAAAACGCTGTATCTCATCTCCTAGACATATGAACTTGCTGAAATTTTCCTCAAAACTTCTTTTTAGGGTGAAGAAACAGTGGAAGTACTTTCAGCCAACATACTCTGAAAGTTTAGTTGTAAAAAAATATTTTCTCGGGAGAATATTTTTTTGTTTAAAAAGCTGTATCTCATCTCCTAGACATACGAAATTGCTGAAATTTTCTTCAAAACTTCTTTTTAAGGTGAAAAAACAGTGGAAGTAATTTCAGCCAAGATACTATAATACACACATCAAAAGTGTCTAGGGATCAACATATATTTTTGCAATAACTTTTCTCCTGATTGATATTAATTAAAATTTTCTTTAAGGATTCATCAAATAAAGTGTTTTCGTTTGTCACAGTAACGATAAACCAAGTCACCTTTGCATTAATAAAGAAATTTGCCATTTTCCTAATAAAGGGATTTTTGACATTTGAACCACTAACACAAAAGTTCGAAAAAAAGACTGAAATAACAGTTTTCTCTAAAATTTTATTGGGTAACTTAAACAATTAATAATCCGTATTTCTACCGCGAACACTAACAACACAAGAACATCGGTTTGGCATACTCAAAATGAGTTCATCCAAATCACGCTGTGGAATGGCCGCCCATGTTCGTTGCAACAACAAAAAAAGGTCTTCTTGCGACTGGATACCCTCCATATTCGGCAGAGCTCTTCTCTGTAGCATATCCCATGCATGCTCAATCGGGTTCAAGTCTGGCGACTGAGCAGGCCAGGGCAGGACATTGATGTTAGCTGCGGCGAGAGTCTGTCTTACAACTCTTGCGGTGTGCGGTCGTGCATTATCATGCATTAACTGAAATAAGGGACCGATTTGCACTTGTAGAGGAACGATGACGTCTGATACAATCGTCTCAGCATAAATTTGAGCGTTGAGGTTGCCTCTGATCCAAATCAACTCAGTTCTTCCGCCGATCCAAATACCCGCCCATACCATGATGGTTCCACCACTATAAGGATGGACTTCCTGGCAGGATTTTAATCGCTGTTGGCGTCCAGGGGTTCTCCAGTGTCGTATACGTCTTGTATCCGGTCTCATACCAAAACGAGACTCATCAGAAAAGCACACGAAACGCCATTGTTCTTCTGCCCAATTTCTGTGTTCAAGAGCCCATTGATATCGAATCCTACGATTGTGCATTGCTATAGGTGGTACCCGTATCGGTCTTCGGGAATGAAGGTTCACTTCATGCAAGCGGTTTCTGACTGTTTGGTCGCTAATTAAGTTCCCTGAAGAGTGATGAAGCCTCACGGCTAACATCATGGCGGTTATTGTTGGAGCTCTTCGAGTTAAGATTTGAATGTATCGGTCTTGTCTCCGTGTGGTGCAGCGATACCGTCCTCCATGGCGCTCAGCCACGGTACCAGTGCTTCGGTATCGTGTCCAAAGTCGACTGATAACACTCTGACTTGTATTCAGAGCTAAAGCCACAGTACGTTGCCGGGAACCAGCTTCTATCATTCCCACGGCTCTGAGCATTTCTTCCCTGCTTAAATGACGTCGCCGCTCCATAATAACGTTGGTTTTAATCAGTAGTAGGGAAACAGTAGCACTAATAATGTCTTCAATGCGTTGTATGTTTTTATAGGGAAAATATTGACAGCTGATTTTCATCTTTTACTCGAATTTGATTCACAGTTCCTGATTCAAATTATGAAATGCACCAAAAAGGATCCATATAAATTTATAAAATCATAAATTTATTACAAAGCCACATCTCAATCTCAAGAAATCCGCATAAAAATGCTTGATCCCTAGACACTTTTGATGTGTGTAGTTTAGTTGTAAAAAAATATTTTCTCGGGAGAATATTTTTCTTTGTTTAAAAAGCTGTATCTCATCTCCTAGACATACGATATTGCTGAAATTTTCTTCAAAACTTCTTTTAAGGGTGAAGAAACAGTGGAAGCAATTTCAGCCAAGATACTCTAAAAATATGGTTTTAAAAAAATATTTTCTCAGGAGATTTTTTTTTTATGTTTAAAAAGCTGTATCTCATCTCCTAGACATACGAAATTGCTGAAATTTTCTTCAAAACTTCTTTTTAGGGTGAAGAAACAGTGGAAGTAATTTCAGTTAAGATACTGTAATAGTTTAGTAGTAAAAAAATTTTTTCTCAGGAGAATATTTTTTTTTGT